GTGTGTGTGTGTGTGTGTGTGTGTAGACTCTCGCTGCAATTCCTGAAAAGAAGAATGAAGACACAAAACAGGCGAAAGATGCAGACGTTGAAGGAAAGCAGCTTCAGAAGACGCCGTCAGTTTCCAAAGACTCTCATAAACTTCACCTGAAAAAGCCTGCACGGACTGCCAGACCTGCTTCTGAGACATCTGGAGGAGTAGAAAACGATGGAGACCAACAGAACGGAAACGACTCCGCCGGACACAAACAATTCAAAGCGGAGAAGAGGAAAAGAAAGGATGAAAAAGAGAAACCGATGAACAAAAAAAAGAAAGTGGAGGAGGTGGAAAAGAAAAAAGCTGAGTATGTGTGCATTTTAATGCTGTTTGTGCCATGGAATAAAAAAAAAAAGAAGAAAGATAATTGCGTTATTAATAGTTAATTTTTTTTCTCTGACAGTTTTGAGTTTGTGTAACACGACTCAGAATTTTGATCAGAATTACGAGATATAAACAGAGAATTGCGAGATATGAATTCTGGATTGTGAGATGTAAACTCTCAATTGACTCAACAACAAAAAAATCAGAATCAAGATAAAACGTTGTAATTACCTTTTTATAATTGTTTTTATTTTGTGGCTGAAACAAAAAACCTGAATTGCAAGATGCTCAGAACTCAGAGAAAAAAGGACAGAATTGCGAGGAAAAACTCTGAATTTTGAGAGAAAGTTTCTAAATTGCAACGCATAAACTCTATAAAACATAATTATAAATTAAAAATAAATATAAATTCTGAGAAAAATACAAATATGAAAATGAAGAATATTTTCTGAGAATAAAAATCAAAATTTCAAGACAAACTCAGAATATTGTGATAAGAAGTCGAAATTGCAAGACACAAAGCTAGACGTGAGAAAAACGTTAAACCCCAAAATATGATTATCTTTGTGCTAGGGACGTCTATCCTAAAATGTGAAAGTCAGCTATATTTATATTCAATATTATTTTTATGAATTTATTCATTCAAATGTGTCAAATATTATTTGGAAAATATTTATTTTTTTACATTGAATTATGATGTATTTTTCCACACACTGTAGTACTGTTTTTGTTAGATTTATTTATTTCAATAAAATTCTTCACTTCAAATTGAATTTAAAAAGTCAAAATTGTAAAATGTAAACTCGTCTGAGAAAAAAAAAATCTGAATTGCGAGATATAAACTCAGAATTCCGAAAAAGTCATAATTGTGAGAGAAACTCAGAATTCTGATTGAAAAAAAGTCTGAATTGCGAGGCGTAACTAGCAATTATTAAGAAAAACGTGTAAATTGTGAAATAAAGAAGTTGCAAATACATTTTTTCATTTTAAATTCTTGGTGGATTCGAGCTTCCATACTGACCTCTTTAAACACCGTTTCCTCTTAGGCCTTATTATTTTTATGAATTTATTCATTCAAATGTGTCAAATATTATTTGGAAAATATTTATTTTTTTACATTGAATTATGATGTATTTTTCCACACACTGTAGTACTGTTTTTGTTAATTTATTTCAATAAAATTCTTCACTTCAAATTGAATTTAAAAAGTCAAAATTGTAAAATGTAAACTCGTCTGAGAAAAAAAAAATCTGAATTGCGAGATATAAACTCAGAATTCCGAAAAAGTCATAATTGTGAGAGAAACTCAGAATTCTGATTGAAAAAAAAAGTCTGAATTGCGAGGCGTAACTAGCAATTATTAAGAAAAACGTGTAAATTGTGAAATAAAGAAGTTGCAAATACATTTTTTCATTTTAAATTCTTGGTGGATTCGAGCTTCCATACTGTCCTCTTTAAACACCGTTTCCTCTTAGGCCTGATATCTGGTTTGATGACGTGGACCCTGATGACATCGAGGCGGCTTTGGGGCCCGAGGCGGCAGACATCGTACGAAAACGTAGCGGAATGCTGAAGTCCAGCGCAGAAGTCACAGAGAAAGTGCTGGTGAAAGAGCACGGGTTTGAGGGGTGAGACACCTGCAGTTCTCTGGGTAGTCATCGGTTTTGAAGGAAAGTGATGTAATCTTGTGGCTGATTTCAGATTGACCCGTGCTGTCGCTATGGACTGTGAGATGGTGGGTGTTGGGTGTGATGGGGAGGACAGCATTCTAGCGCGGGTCTCCATCGTCAACCACTTTGGGAAATGCATCTACGATAAATACATCAAACCCACGGAAAAGGTTACGGACTACAGGACGGCTGTTAGTGGAATCAGACCGGCGGACATCGAAAACGGTCAGGACCCCTCATAATAGTCTCTAGTGCATTTGAAAAATACTGCAAATTTGATGAAATGGTTGTTTGTATAGAATAGTGCTGTCAAACGATTAATCGCATCCAAAATAAAAGTTTTTGTTTACATAATAAATGTATATTTATTACGTATATATAAATACACACACATACAGTATATATTTAGAAAATATAAATGTCTATATTTATATTCATGTAATTTAATTCATATATAAACATAACATATTTTTCTTAAATATATACATGCATGTTTGTGTATTTATATATACACGTAATAAATATACACAGTACACACTCATATTATGTAAACACAAACTTTTATTTTGGATGCGATTAATCGTTTGACAGCTCTAATATAGAATAAGAATGGAGTAAGAAAATAAACAAGTATTTCTCGCAATTTTAAGTGTGAATCATGCAATTTTGAGTTTACATCTCGCAATTCCGACATTTATCTCCAAATTGCATCGAAACACTATTTTGACTGTATTCAGAATTTATGTCTTGCCAAATATACACAGTACACACTCATATTATGTAAACACAAACTTTTATTTTGGATGCGATTAATCGTTTGACAGCTCTAATATAGAATAAGAATGGAGTAAGAAAATAAACAAGTATTTCTCGCAATTTTAAGTGTGAATCATGCAATTTTGAGTTTACATCTCGCAATTCCGACATTTATCTCCAAATTGCATCGAAACACTATTTTGACTGTATTCAGAATTTGTCTTGCAAGTTTGAGTTAATATCTCGCAATTCTGATTTTATCCCTTAAAATTGTGTCTGACACAATTCTGCCTCTGTTCCTCACAATTTTGAGTTAACATCACAATTCTTGACTTTTTCCTCAGAAATGCAAGTTTATATCACAATTCTGACTATTTCTCACAGTTCTGAATTTATAACTCTCAATATTTCCCACGATTCTGTCTTTTTTCTCAAAATTGCATGTTTATAACAATTTTTTATTTCTTACAATCCAAAATGTATCTCTCAATTTTTAGTTAACATCTTGTAATTCAATTTTCTTTCTCAAAGTTGTGTTTTTGTGTCACAATTCTGACTGTAATTCTAGCAATTTTATATACTTTAATATTTCTGTCGTAATATGCATCTTGTGATGCAGACTGATCCTTTCGTCCATGAAATTAGGCGAGCTTTAAAAGAGATATAAACTCAGATTTCTGAGAAAAATAGCAGAATTGGCAAATGTTAGCTCAAGATTGCGAGATATATAAACTCAGTATTGAGAGATAAAAAAAATCACAATTACCTTTTTGTTTTCTGTGGTGGAAACAGGCTTCTGCATGTACGAGATGACTTATTGTTCCTCATGTGATTAACAGGTGAGGCCATCAAGACAGTCCAGAAAGAAGTGGCTCAGATTCTGGAAGGAAGAATATTAGTAGGACACGCCATTCACAATGACTTAAAGGTACAGTACACACAAAAAAGGCGGTTGTCGCACGCTCACATCGTTCCAGGCCTGTATGCTTTTTCTGTGGAAAACAAACACCAAAAAAGCACCAAACTAGGCTATATTACAGCATACGGGATCGGAATGGCTTGAGAGCGACTAATGATGACATTTTCAGATGAGGTATTCCTTTAACAAACTGTCAGATTTCTTTTAAACACTTTTGTGGTGTTCATAGATTTTGCTGCTGGATCATCCCAAGAAAATGATCAGAGACACACAGAAATACAAACCATTTAGGCAGAGAGTAAAGGTATGAAACAATTTGCTGGTAACTTAATAAATCAATATTATTAATAATAAATAAAAATATGCACATTTTAATTGTCAATGTCTCCTCCTTGTCCTCTTCCTCAGAGCGCACGTCCTGCATTGCGGGTTTTATGCAAAGAGATTCTCAATGTTAAAGTCCAGCAGGGTGAACATTCGTCTGTAAGTCTCTCTTCAACATCTCCATTCATTATTTCAACATGCATGGCTTGATCTTTTGTCATATAATACAAGATAAGGAATTAAAGCATAGACTAGCATTCAAAGGTTTGGGGTTGGTGAAAAACTTGAATGTTTTTGAAAGGTGTTTCTTTTGTACACCACGATTTATGCATTTATTTGACCAAAAATGCAGTAGAATATTATTACAATTCAAATAAAATTTCTATTTGAATATATTTTAAAATGTAATTTATTCCTGTGATGCAAAGCTGAATTTTCAGCATCATTACTCCAGTCTTCAGTTCTAATATGCTGATAAATCTTTTGTTACATAAATGTCTTTGCTGTCACTTTTGATCAGTTTACTGTTGTGTGTGCATCACAGGTTCAGGACGCTCAGGCCACTATGAGGCTGTACACTCTGGTGAAGAAGCAGTGGGAGGCGGAGCTTAAAGCCGCCCGGGCGGGTCAATTTCAGAAGAGCCCCCGAAAACCCAAAACTCCTAAAAACCAGAGCAAATTAATTCAAATCAGCCGATAAAAAAACTCATCGCAAAACATGACAGACTGAAACATGGATCTGTTTTACCAGCGTGGAGTAACACTGTCTTCAGTTACGTTATGATGAACTGTGTTTAATATTCCTGTCTGAATGTCTCTCAGTTTGTACTTGAATCTTAAATCCTATCTTCTGTTATTTGAGGAATGAGACCATCAAACCATTCAGATTATCAGTGTTCTATTGAACTCTTTTATACCAAGTAATTTAAATGCTTATTTTCCATCCTGTTTAAAATTACATGACAGATGTAACCGTTATTGGAGACTTAAATAGTTTTCTATCTGAACTGCGATTAAAGACCCCACACTTGATGTGCACAAGGTGTTGATTTCTCACATCGAAAAGCATATTAAAAACACCAGATATAGCTGTAAATAAATAAAAAATTCTTTAAAAGTAGTAGTTAAATCATACTTTAGATATCAGATGTTTCTTACACAGAAACAGAGCAAGAAAGCGAGAAGGTCAGAGACAAGTGTCTATTTAGCTCATGGGGAAAAAAACTGAAAAATAAACTTTTTTTTAATTTATTTTATTTTTTACACATCATTGCAAAGTCAATCAGTTACATGTTACATCCAACACAAATACACAGAGAGACAAGATCACTGCTAAACAGCTAATGACGATTCAAGTTTATTTTGTGCCGAACAATTTTGGTGTTTCAAAATCTCTTCTTTCAGTCAGTAGTGTTGAGTTTGTCAAATACAGAAGTGTTTAGTTATGATATCGTGGTTACTGAGATCGCATTCAAGAGATGACAAAACTAGAGCTCCAGCTTTAGGACGACTTTGCTTCCAAATCTGGAAAACCTAGGTTAGTGATAAATAATAGTTCATTCTACAATATATCTAGGTGGACATTACTTTTGAGCTGGTTTGTGTGCTGGTGGAGACTTAACAAGCCTGAGCCTCAGATGTGTTATTGGTAGAGCTGTCAAACGATTAATCGCATCCAAAATAAAAGTTTTTGTTTACATAATCTATGAGTGTGTACTGTGTATATTTATTACGTATATATAAATACACACACATACAGTATATTTTGAAAATATTTACATGTATATACATTTATATATATTATATATAAATATATTTAATATATAAACAAAATTTTTCTTAAATATATACATGCATGTGTTTGTATTTATATATACATAATAAATATACACAGTACACACTCATAGATTATGTAAACAAAAACTTTTATTTTGGATGTGATTAATCGCGATTAATCGTTTGACAGCACTAATTGGAGATCATTTTACCCGCTGAACATTCATGCAAAACACTTTAAAGTTTGGTGAAAGTATTTAATGACGGCATGTGAGCATCTAAAAGAATGAATCTCACAAACACCCAGATAACATTTATATGGAAGCCCGATTCTGGCACGATAAAAAAAAAAAAAGGTAATTGCGACTTTTTATCTCACAGCTCAATTCAAAACTTTTCTGAAATTCTGAAAAAAAAAAAAAAATTGCTTGCAATTTTTTTTTCTCAGAACTGTGCAGGGGCGCGGGAAGATGTTTTCGGTTGGGGGGGCTGTGTGTGTCCGTGTTGGGTGAAGGGGGTTCGGGGGGGCTGGTTCACTTACGTCGGTGCTGGGGCTGGTGTTGTTTGGATGCCGATTTTGGAAAGTTTTTGCTGGGATGGGCATTTAAAAAAATCTGAAATTCGC